AAACATGGGCCTGCAGAACAGAAAGGACAGTGGTAATGTTCACCCACCGAGTCAGGAAAAAGCCAAAAAAAAAAAAAAAAAAGTTTCTTTTAGTCATATAGCATATATGCTGATAACCAGGTGTGGACAAGGGAGCAGTCACAAGGACAGACAACTATTTTCTTTGTAGATAATTGCAGAGAGGCAGAAAGGCAGGTCTGTGAGAGCCAAATGTAAGTGGGCAGTCTCATTCTACTGCATGTATGCAACCATAGTTCTAGACAGAGTAAAAACACATGTGCACATACAGCACAGTGCAGCTCCCTTTTTGAAGTTGGACAGTGTGGTCTGGGAGCTCCAAAAATCCTCTGAACTTTTTTTTTTAAACTTATAGTAATGTGCAGCTACTTTCATTCATATCTTCCTTCATGACTATTTAGTTTTAATGACTAATTTGTTAGCATTTCAAAATCTCCACCAGCAATTAAAAAAAAAATCAGGAGGTTTGTGGGTTTTTTGTTTTTCACATTTCCTCTTTAGTAGTGGTAAAGGTGATATTTAGTATAGACATCTTTCCACATTAGCCACTACTATGAGAAGTGATGAATAATTTTGTTGCTCACATACACATCTCAATTTCTACTGTTAACTCTAAGTACTGTAGCACACCGACTTTTTTCCTGCTTTTCTGTTTCCTAATCCTCTTAAAGAGGATTACTTACTTACAGCGATCTAGGGGTCTGATCCTCTTTTTTTTTTCATTCTAATGTGGTTGTTTTAATTCACTCCCACATTTCAAGTACCCAGGTTTACATTCTTTTCATTGGTCTTGCATGGCTGCATATTTCAGGTCATTTGGGTCTTTTACCATGCTGTTTTGCATTTTTCTTTCTTTCTTTTTGCCTCTCTTATATATTGGAAAAGAAGAACCACCTAGCTGGAGAACACAAAGGCCAGCCATAGCCTCTATCAACCTTTTGAGACATAGTCAACTAGTATATATGTTATATCTAAATACTTAAAGTTGTAGCTGATAACTTCATATGGAACAGGCTGCCCAGAAAAATTGTGGATGCCCCCTCCCTGGAAGTGTTCAAGGCCAATTTGGATGAGGCTTTTAGCAACCTGGTAAAGTGGAACACATTAAAGTGTTCCAAAAACGTGTCCTGAATTGCAGTTTTCACCTTTTGTGCAACTATGTGATACTGAAGTTTAAAGCCATTTTTTGTGAAATGATGGCATCTTGTGGTAGGAATCGGTCACTGCAAGAATGGCAGCTTTGAAACTATTCTGATAAATACCACGCATAATTAGTAATCTAAGCAGTTAATCTCAAGTGTCTGCTTCAGTTCATTATTTACTTTACTACAAAGCTAGTATGTTTGCAGAGTTATTTTGAAATACTTTTT